GTGTGTGTGTGTGTGTGTGTGTGTGTGGTGCTGGGGGTGGAACCCAGGGCTCTGTGTGTGCTGAGTGGGTTCTGAGCCCCAGACCCAGCTTGTCTTTTTGGATTTTTATGTAGCAGTAAAGAGTGTCAAGGGTGGCCAGGGAGCTGCTCCAGGGCAGAGTTTGTAGCTCAGTGGAAGAGCCCTTGCCTAGCATGGAGGAGGCCCTTGTTCAACCCCAATACTGCCAAACAAAACTGAGCATATTGTTCATGGGACTCTTATGTAGAATGTGTTCGGCCACCTCTTCTGCTTCAGTTAGAAGAACGCGAGCGCTGTGTTCCTGTCTGCAGACCCTCCAGGCCTCCCACCCGCACGCTCACTAGATAGAGGTTGAGCTCCAGAGGGGAACAGCACTGTGTGAAGCACTTGGACTTGAGTTCAGAGGCCCACAGACCTGGGCTGAGTATTTTACCTTGCCAGTTATTAATCGTGTTTTTATTTTTATTTTTATTTAACTAACTTGCAGATTTACCCTCTTTAAGCCCTAGCTAGCATCCTCCTTTGTAAAATGGAAATAAGAAAAACACCTACTCGTGGGTGCACTTGAGGAGTAAATGTGCTCATGTGTGAAAAACTCTTAGCGGCAATGTCGGGTGCTCAGAAAACACCCAGAGTGCCAGCAGCCATCCCTGGCGCCATCGTGCACATCCCCACTCCGCCTGCGCCCCAGTTTTGCGAGCAGTGTTGGATGCCTGTGCCGGGAGGGGCCGTACTCCTGGGGCCTGGGCTCGTGGGCTGGTGTTGGTGGGGCGTCTCCCGAAGCCTCGTGCACCTTGGGTCAGGTATGAGTGAGGCTCAAGAGGACCCGGGTCAGGAGACTTCACGTGCTGAGTCTTGCTCTGAGCAGGTGACGGGCCACTGTAAGTGTGCTTGGTTCCAGTGAAGTCACTCGGGAAGCCCAGTGTCTCCGTGGCCTGAAACAGCAGCCCTGTGGGAACACAGCGTCTTCCCAGAGTGTTAGGAGGGACCTGGCAGAGACCAGTCACCCACAGCCACCACGTGTGTTGTGCCCCTTCTTCCCCCAGCCATGGCAAGTTGTGTCAGTGACACCTGCATGCCCTCCCCTCTGGCCCTCCACAGACCAAGGCTGTGTAGAGCTCGGGCTTTCTCCTTTCGTACGTCTTGGTCGGGCTCAGAATCTTAGAGAGTCATGTCCGGGAGTGGGGAGTTTAGAATCAGACTGGGTTCACATCCTAGCCCGGTCACTGCTAGCTGTGTGACCTTGTGCAGGTGGCCTGACCTTTCTGTGCCTTGGTTTCTTCATCTGTAAGATTAGGTTAATAATTAGATCCTGCTCTACAGGATTGTCAGAATTAACTGAGGAAACACCTGGTGTAAATCCAGTGCTCTGCGGTGTCAGCTGCTGTTGGGAGGACTCGAATCCCACAGGGTGCTGTCCTCCACCACATGCCAGGGTAGCTAGAGCAATTCCCCTTAGCAGTCCTCCTCGCTGTTCTCTAGTGAGTTGCGTTGTCCCCTGTCCATGTGCTCTGCTGGCGAGGCCTCATTGTGCCGTCCCCCAGCTTGGGTTTCCTTGCCCCGTTGACAGCTTAGGTTAGACACCAGGAGTCCAGGTAGTGCTTTAAACTTGGAATTTAGATGAGTTTTCCGTTGTCAAACATCCGTCTGTACCGGCTGTGCGCTAAGAAGTGTTGTGTGTTCCTGCCTAAGTGAAGGGCGGGGCACCTGGGCTCGTTCACTTGCCGCCAGTTCCGGTCAGTTTTGAGGGGCAGCGTGCCAGTAGGGTGCTGAAGCCCGGGGCGCTGTTCAACCTTGTTCTGTGGGACGGGGAGAGCCGCTTTCCTGGCGTGTCCATGCCTACTCTTAGGGCAGCGGAGCACAGCAGAGTGGAGTTGGGCCAGTTGTCTGCAGCGAGAGTACCCCCAAAAGTGGGATTGGCTCTGATGGGCCCACAAAAACTAAAACAGGCTCCTATAGACTCAGGACTTGACCCTTAGAAGAACAGCAACCCCTGGAGAAAGAGAGTAATGAGGCCAAGGCCAGGAAGGCCGGCCACTGCCTCCCTTCTCCATGCCAGGTCAGACCCGGGGCTCTGGCCTGCAGGAGTGAGCCCCGAATTAGGAGCAGCATTAGCGGGAGCCCGCAGCTCGTGGCTGGCAGCAGCTCGCAGGTGGTAGGAAACCACGTTGTGGCCGAGAGGGAGGAAGGAACCTGAGCAGAGCAAAGTGGACGGTACCGGCAGGGCAGGGGCCACCACGGCCTCCCCGGGCATCACAACTGGTAAAGAGCGGTGCCTTCCCCAGGTTTTATGGGACTCTTGGGTTTAGCAATGTTTCTGTCACATCCGTGGTGACTGCCCCAGTGCTGCTTCGTTCCCGTCACAGTTCCAGGAAGGCCCACCTGGCCCAGGCCCTGCAGGCCCACTCGGCCGTGTTGCAGCTCGCCCGCCCCCTGCCTGCCCCGTCCCAGCCCTGCTCTGCTGGGCGTCTCCATGTCCATTCCTTCTGGAAGCTCACTCTTGGGCAAGGCTCTGCTTAAGACACGTCTTCCCAGAGACCATCTGGGTCCTCCTGTCCCTGCCTCCCATGCGCCAGCCTCTTTCCTGTGCTCTTCTCATTATGCAAGGGGCCATATTTTTGGTGTCTGCTTCCCCAATCAATCCACAGGACAGGGACCACATCTTTGCTGAATGCTTGGCAGATTGTAAATTTATTTTGGTACCAGGGATTGAATTCATGGGCGCTTAACCACTGAGCCACATCCCCAGCCCCAGCCCTCTTTTGTATTTCATTTAGAGACAGGGTCTCAATGATTTGCTTAGCACCTCTCTAAGTTGCTGAGGCTGGCTTTGAACTCACGATCCTCCTGCCTCAGCCTCCCGAGTTGCTGGAATCACAGGCGTGCACCACTGTGCCTGGCTGGATTGTAATTTCTTGCTCCAGTTGTTTACTGATGGAAAAACCAGAAGGAACAGTAATTTGCAAAGGGTGTAGTGGGGGAAAAGGTAAGCATTAACCTTTGGATTTGTCTTGGTTTTGTTTTCTAAATAATGCCTGAAAAAAGTATTTCTCCTTCCACAGGCACACACACAGCGCTTTTTAAAGGATGCTCTGAGAGGCCTTTTTTATGGACCCTAATGCGTGGGCAGATCTCACTGCCTTCTCTTCTCTCCACAGAATGAAATGTGTTTGGCCACCCAACAACTTTCCAAGCAGCTGCTGGCGTATGAAAAGCAGGTAACCCAGGCTCCGTGCCGCCTGGCGCTGTGGCAGGCCTCTGCTCAGCGCCGCTTTAGAGCAATTCTCCAAAGGCGTCCTTAAAGATCTGTGCTGCTTTTCCTTCCTCTCCTCTCCTTTTCTTCCTTTTGTCTTCCCTTTCCTCTCTTCCTTCTCCCTTCCCTTATTTTCCCCCAGCGTTTTTGGGGGGGGCCTTTCTTTTTTTCCCATTGATAAATACTAACTAGTGATCATCCCAAAGTCCTTCTGAGGTGCTCTGAGGGCCTACAGGAGAAGTAGCTGGCTGCCCTTGAGAGCCCACAGCTTCTGGGGGCTACAGGGAACTCAAGCTGACAACCCCAGGAAGTAAGCTCCCTGAGAAATCTTTATGTTCAGAAGGAGGTGACCAAAGAGGGGATGGCCAGAGAGGGCTGTTGGGCGAACCCAGGGGCCGGGGGGAGCAGGGAGCTCCAGCTGCGTTCATTTGGACACTTCTGCAGGGTGCTCTCAGGAGGAGGGGCGTGGGGTGGCGTTTGGAGGGTGATGCTCATTTAGCTGACACCTGGCTCTCTCATTCTTTGGTCTTAGAATTTCGCTCTTGGCAAAGGTGATGAAGAGGTAATTTCTACACTCCATTATTTTTCTGAAGTGGTGGATAAGGTAAGATAGCAACATGAGATGTTTTTATGTGATTCTTCTTGAATTTTCTTTTTCCTTATTTTGTCCTGGTTTCCATTTTTAAATATCTATTAAATATCTGAGAAGGTAACTCAACTTGCTGATCTTCCAAGCTTCATTCCATGACAGAGGATGTGCACTATTACGTCTGTTAGTAGTTTGAGGGGAAAGAAGGCTTTCTGAGCTCCGTTTCCTCGGGAGGGTGTATCAGTTCACAGCAACACCTTTTCCCCCGCAGCCCTGGAGGCCGGACAGCTAGACCACGGCATCTGCAGGCCACACTCCCCCACAGTCCCTGGGCTTCCCCCCTGCCTCTTCAGCTTTTATAGCTCTTGGTGGGCCTTGGCCGTGGCTCTCTGACTCTGACTCTGCATGGCCTCACTGCCCCTGTGTTTGCCCCCTGGATTTGGGGCCACCTAGAAAATTAGGGATGATCACTTCAAGACCCTCCATTACCTCTGCAAAGACACTGTTTCCCAATATTCCCAGGCGCTGCCTTATTAGAAAAAAAGGCAGTCCTGTCACCCAGCGGTCCTAAGATGTGATGCCGGGGATAGTCATAAGACCAATAGCCATAAACCCCCTGTGTCCCCACTGCTCAGGAAGTTATAAGGGTTTTAGGAATTCTGTGCTAGGAGCTAGGAACAGAGACTAAATCTGTACTTTTCATTATATCACAATGGTATACTCATGTCAAGGCTCTTTAAAATGTGTATTGAGATGGGTGAAAGGTAAGTAAAATGTGGTTACAGAGAAGTAAAATGTGATTTGGGGAGGTAGGGAGGAGACTTTTTCTTCATTAACAGTGAACAGGTATCTGGGGGGAAGCCGTAGACTGAACCTGAAGTCACCTGTGTTCTGCAGAGAGGCGCGTTGCTGAGGAGCGTGGCTGGTGGCCTGAACCCCCACTAAGATTTTCAGTTTCAAATGCTCACTCGTGGCCATCTTCTTCTGGGCAGTGCTGGTTCTGTTGGTGGACTAGAACCTCCCCAGGGTGGTGGAGTCTCTGGGTGGTAGCATGGCAGCCGGAGGTTGGTACCGTCAGAGGCTCCACACAAGCTGCTTTTTCTCCGGAGACCCAGAAGGAGGCTTGGGTACCAGCGGGCCCAGACCTGGGAAGAGGAGGGTGGGTTTGGGGTGTTTCTTCAACCTGGGTCTCAACCAGGTGGAAAAGTCTTCAAGACAAGTAATTTGACCATGAAATTAAAAAAACAAGCCAGTGGCGTGAAAGGTCTGATGGTTGATAGAGTCCATCAAATGTGTAGGATGGACTCTTCCCTGTTAGTCCCGTGGGGATCCCGGGCTTGGTGGTCTCCCCTAAAGCAAGGCTTCTGATCACTTCCTGGGGTGGTGCCCAAGACAGGAGGTCATTGTCATCACAGCTTCCAGTGGTCAAGCAAGTGCCAGGATGTGCGTGTCGGGCTCTGGGCGGTCCCTCTGTGTACTGTCCCTGTCCCGTCCTCACAGCAGCCATACACAGAAGCAGGTCTTCTTGCCATTTTCATTTTCTGTGACGATCCTTAAGCACCAAGATGAGATGTGGGCCACCTCTTCCACTCTTCCCAGCAATCACACAGTGGCTAGAGGTGACAAACACAGCAGAAGTTTGATGGCTCAAAACTCTGGGTCCTTAGAAATGACCATGGGTGACGTGCCCTTAGCCACCAGCAGGAGTCCCGGAACATCCTTCAGCATGCCCACAAGTCTGCACCTGAGGGACAGTCTCCTATTGTTTGTTGCTCCAGGCCCTCCCAGACCACCCCCCCAGACCCGCCCAGACCCATGAAGCTTCACAGCACTGTGAGCGTAAAGGACCAAGCTCCACGTCCCAGGCTGTGTAGTGGGACGGCATGCGTTCTAGATCCCAGCAGCCTGTGGTTACAGCCCTGGCCATGCCATTTATTTGCTTTCCGGACTTACAGGGTTGTTTGCCTGCCTGTAAAATAGGAATAATAAATTCCTAATGCACAGAGTGGGCAAGGACTGAACCGCATAGAGTCTGTAAAGCGGGCACACAAAAAGTGCCCCAGTGCTGGCCCTGCGGAGAGCGTGTTTATTTCTCCTAGGCTGTTTACCAAGACAGGATTTTTTTTTTTTTTAAAAGAGAGAGTGAGAGAGGAGAGAGAGAGAGAGAGAGAGAGAGAGAATTTTTTTAATATTTATTATTTAGTTCTCGGCGGACACAACATCTTTGTTGGTATGTGATGCTGAGGATCGAACCCGGGCCGCACGCATGCCAGGCGAGCGCGCTACCGCTTGAGCCACATCCCCAGCCCCCCAAGACAGGATTTTAATAACCCCTCAAGGCAGAGGGGAGAGGACACCTAGAGCTGTTGAAGGTGTCTGGTGAGGAGGGTCACCCTGGAACGCAGCTGGCTTGCTCCTAGCTGGTGGTCCTGCAGGGAGCTGAGGCCTGCAGCCTGTTGCTGGCTTCAGCAGGGACCAGGGACCAGGGACCGAGCTTTCTCCCGCTGAATCCGTGGGGCCCACAGCTGCTGGCCCTGGGCTCGGGGCTGGTTGTTCCCAGCCAGACTGTTTTTCTGGTGTAACTGGAGCTTTCTCTGAGAGAGAGAACTGTGACCTTGGGAATGGCTAACTGTGCTGACCTCTGGCTGCAAGCCACGCTACTGCCAGCAAATACAGCATTCCCATTCTCCAGGGGGTGTGACCCAGGAACACGAACCGGAGTTTGCACAGTGAACCAAGAGTAACTGGGCCCGCCTTTAGCAAGCTTCACTGACGGCCCAGTTAGTTGGAACCCTGTGTTACCTTTTTAGTGCCTCTGGGCCTCTCCTTTACAGCTTTATGGGGGTATTTATTTGCTAAAGAAGTCCAGCCAAGCTCTTTAACCACCTAGAAGTGTTCAGCAGAGTCCCCTGGTGAGTTGAGACCCAGTAATAATGGATGGTTTTCTGAGGAGTTTCTTTTCTTTCAGCTTAATGTCCTCCATACAGAGCTGGCCAAACAGCTGGCAGACGCCATGGTCCTACCTATTGTACAATTTCGAGAAAAGGATCTCACAGGTATTGTAACTCAGTTCACTGCATTTACCTTCAAAATACTATTTAACTCAAAACAGTAATTCTTACTGCATTAGTGTCTTTAAATGTGTGTGGATCATTGAGAAATGCCTTTCTTTTTGAGTAGGTCAGTTTAGCAAACCTTCATCACCACCCTATCCCCCCACCCCCCACACACCCCCACCCCATGTTCCTGGCTCACCTTAAAGAGGCCACAGGCAAATAAGACAAGGGTGGAGAAACAGACTGCTGTAAGGTCAGGAGGTGAGGAGGCAGAGCCCTATGGGAAAGGAGCGCAGGGGCAGGATGGCTTCCGGAATGGGTGCTAGGGAAGGCTCCTGGAGGAGGCCAGCTCTGACCTGGGTGTCGAATGGTGTATGATATTTAGCAAGCACACAGTGTGACTGAGGTGAGTGTCACAGGTTAAGGACTCTGCAAAGGCATGTTCCTGGGGAACCTGAATGCTCTAGAGTGTGACGCGGCAGCCTGTGGGGGGGAGGACGGGTGGGAACTCATGCTTTCTCTCTGCAGGACTCCAGGGCATAGCTGTGGATGGGCGGGCGGGTCCCTGCTCTCTCGTGGAGTGCCTAGTTGTGAGTGAGGACATCTGTGACTGGTTCAGAGAGCCTATGTGGCTTTTTGGACTTAAGAATAATTTTATCGGGCTGGGGTTGTAGCTCAGTGGTAGAGCACTTGCCTTGTATGCGTGAGGCCCTGGGTTCGGACCCCAGCACCACATAAAATAAAAAAAAAAAAACAAAAATAAAGATATTGTGTCCATCTACAACTAAAAAATATATAGAAAAAAGAATGATTTTATCTCTCTTAGAAATTAAAGCAGTCAAAAATGAATAAAAATGAATAGTCTTAGCTGGGCGCAGTAGCACACACCTGTAATCCCAGTGGCTTTGGAGCCTGAGGTAGGAAGATCGTGAGTTCAAAGCCAGCCTCAGCAGCTTAGCGAGGCACTTAGCAACTAAGGGAGACCCTGTCTGTAATAAAATATAGAAAAGGCCTGGGGATGTGGCCCAGTGGTTAAGCACCACTGGATTCAATCCTTGGTACCAAAAAAGAAAGAAAAGAATAATACTGAAAAAACCCAGGTGATGTTTATAAAAAAAAGGAATGCAAATTTTCTAGTCCCATTGTTCCTTCTTATTTCATTGTGTTTGAAGAACATTCCTATAAAAGAAAAAATTCTGATCGAAGAAGCTCAAACCTGATGCTGGCAGGTCTCAGTATCCTGCTCCTCAGAAATACAGAGCCTTTATTTTATTTATCTATCTATCTATTTATTTATTTAACGAGCATAAAAGATGCAGGGAATCTGAGGGCAGATACTGAAGATGAAGGTTTCCCCCTTTGGGATTGGTCCCCTGTTGTCGTATCACCTGGGGCTGGGGATGATGGTACATGAACTGGCACACACTCTCAAGGCCAGTTTGGCAGGCCTTAAAATTTTGTAGGTGAAAAATAGTAATACACTACTTGTCAAGAGGAACCCTCGCTGAGCAGGATCTCGGGCTTTTCATTGGCTTATCTCTAGTCGAACAGGAAGCCAGATGGCTAAATCCAGTGGTGCTGGTTTCTAGTCCCAACTGAAAGCCTCGTTGGATGCTTTTAAAACAGATTTACCCTAAATAAAACCACCAGGCAATGTCATTTTAAGAGCAGACCCCAAGTTGTTAGAAATTAATAATGACCCCTCACCCCGAGCTGTCAGATTGCTCTTTTTCAGGTTTGCTTGTGGGAGGAACCTTGGCTTGAGGGGAATGGTGGCCCTGCTTGATTGAGTGTGACCCAGCAAGTGGCCTTGGTAGCTATTGCACAGAATGGTGTTTCTTTTGAAAAGTAGATTTTCACTGGTCGGTAGTAGTCAGAAGAGAAGTTTCTTAATTCTCTGAAGAGAGTTAAATTCTCCCTTTTTTTGGTGACACAAAAATAGAATTGAAGCGTTTGGCCCAGTTTTCCTGAGTCCACACTGGACCCACATGGGCATCTGGCACCCTGTCCGTGAGCCGCGGTGTTGTTTTATTGCCTTTGCTTCCTGGGTCCCCCACACAAGTATGTGATCAGAATGAAGAGAACACAGGAGGGTTAATGAAGCTATTTAAAATTGATAAGAAAAATATCTAGGGCTGGGGATGTGGCTCAAGCGGTAGCGCGCTCGCCTAGCATGTGTGCGGCCCAGGTTCGATCCTCAGCACCACATACCAACAAAGATGTTGTGCCCGCCGAGAACTAAAAAATAAAATATTAAAATAATTCTCTCTCTCTCTCTCTCTCTCTCCTCTCTCACTCTCTCTTAAAAAAAAATATCTACACTAAAACTGCTCCATCAGGAAGTAAAGGTGGGAGAGAAAGAAGAGAAAACTGCAAGTGGGAGAGGGCGGCGGCAGCCCTGCGCTGTGGAGTGAGAACAGTGTTTAGAGAAGGAAGCGCTGGAAAGAGCACAGCCGGGGAAAGCCCAGCCGCGTTTGACAAAGTCAGACGAAGTTGTTAGAATTGTAGAAAGGTTTGCTTCCTTAGGGTCCTGATTTTGTTTAACCCTGGACCTTCACTGCTCAGAGTCCTCTGTGGCTTTGTCTTGGACCTGTTCAGCTGTCCCAGGAGTGGCAAGTAGCCCAGTGGGTGGTGGGGATTGGTGCTGGCTTGCTGCAGGTACCAGATGGCATCGTAGTTTTCATTAACACAGACACTGCAGCATTTCTTTGTTCACTGGTGACACTAATAAGTCAGAAGTTAAAATGGCAACAAGAAGGAACTTCTGGGTGTCATCCTGCATCATTCTGAGAAAAGATGCATTGGACACTTCACTTAGGGGCTGAGAATCAGTACTTAAGTTTATACTCCAGGTCTGTGTGACAGTCCTGGCCATCCACTGTCTCTGTGTTCCCAGAGAGCTGCATTCTTCCCGAGGCAGGCAAGACCCCCAGATGTGGAGTGTAGGCTGCCCGCACAGGCTCCAGGGAGACCAGGATGCAACCATTGGCCTAGGCCAGGGGAGCAGAGGACCTGAGGGCAGGCCAGGCCAAGCACACACTCTGCCTTCTCAGGAAAGCAGAGCCCTGGGTTGGCATGCTTTATTTTTCTTGCTCTAAGACTTTTTTTTTTTCCTCTTGTACAGAAGTAAGCACTTTGAAGGAACTTTTCGGACTCGCCAGCAGTGGTAGGCATCTTCCATTCCTGGTTGGTGGGTTTGGTAGTGTGTGTGGGTTTAGTGTGTGTGTCGGGGAGAAGATGCTGAATGAATGCTTTTGCCTTTGGACCTTTCTGGATGCTCAGATGTCTTTTTATTTTTAGAGCATGACCTCTCAATGGCAAAATACAGCAGGCTCCCTAAAAAAAAGGAGAATGAAAAGGTAAGCTTACCTTACCTATTATTTTTCCCTTCATTTACTTAAGCTGCTTCTGTATCTCATATTCTGAGTCTGTGGCAGTTAGGTGTCTTGAGACGTTACTTTCTTTTTCCTGTACGTGGACTTTTGAAATTATTCTGAATCTCATAAGTGGGCTTCCGCTTCGCTAGACTGACTTTTCAGCCTGATATTAAACACCAGCTTAGAACCACTGTAGATTACAATCATACAGTAGCTTTATCTCCCACTTGGTCCCTCATGGGATTGGCTGACTACTGTGCTAGGCCAGCGGGTTGAGCTCCCTGCCTGCTGTTGACTCTGGCCCCTGCTTTTGAGGGGTTTTGCTTTTTACTTCCACTAGATGATTTCCTTGGGCTAAATTATTTCTTTGGAACAGAATCTTATGAGTGAACCAAAATGTCTGTCGCTTCTGATGCCTATCGCGAGTGGCTTTCCTGCAGGGTTGCAGTGTGGGTGTTGCTACCTGCAGGGTGCCGGCTTTGCCTCCTGCAGCCTCACGAGCACTGAGATGCTCTTATCTGTGTATTTTTTTTCTTTTTTATTGTAGATGGATACAATGTCTTTGTTTGTTTATTTTTATGTGGTGCTGAGGATTGAACCCAGTGCCTCAGCCAAGCAAGGCAAGCTCTCTGCCACTGAGCCCCCGCCACAGCCCTTACCTGGGTATTTTTAATTGGGATATTTTAAATTGAGGTGAAATTTACCTAAGTGTTACTGTATTTGGCACAAAAATGGATAAGCAAATGTTCTTAAGTTGCATGCTCTTACAGAACGTTCACACCTGGAAGTTTTCCCTTCACCTTTCAACCAGGTAAAGACTGAAGTTGTGAAGGAGGTGGCAGCTGCACGGCGGAAGCAGCACCTGGCGTCCCTCCAGTACTACTCCGCCCTCAATGCACTGCAGTACCGGAAGCGGATGGCCATGATGGAGCCCATGATAGGCTTCGCCCATGGACAGGTAAGGGAGCCCTCTCACCTGGGGGAGAAAACCTGAGAACATTTAGCAGGAAACCTCGTCATAGCAGGAAACAGATGCACAGCCTCCCTGGAAACTTCCTGGATTCACACTGTGGAGTCCTTCCAGCTGGGCAGGCCATCCTCAGCTGGACTTGTGAGGCCATATGTTCAGGAAATGATGGCCTGGATCCTGAGCTTCCCTGGGGGAGGATCCTGCATGGCCCTTTGTCTCTGATTCATACAAAAGTCAGGCCTGGTCCAGTGTTCTAGAAGCAGCTCACAGTCGGTTGAGATGTTTGGCTTAGAAGTCAAGATTGTGACGTTCCCTTACTGCTGTGTGCAGTCGGGTGCCCCCTGAGTAGGCGATGCTCAGCTGCTGTGTGCAGTCGGGTGCCCCTGGCTGGGCGATGCTCAGCTGACTCATCCCAAGGTTGCTGCTGAGGCCTTCACCTACTGGGGCATAGGCAAGAGTTGCCAGGGCTTTATGGAGTATTTTGTAGAGAATTTATTTGGCTTCTTCCCTCTTATTGACTGATCTACTGAATATTATTTGTCTTAAGGGAGGCTCCACTTACGGAAGGAGCCTTAATTGTTATGGCATAAAACAGGAGTGGCAGGGACCAGCAGGAGTGTGTCAGGCTGATGTCCTCCCCGCCCTATTTAACCCCAGAGTGTTGACTCTGAAATTTCCCTTTGGCACGTGAAACATGCACCCAGGAATCTTCTCTCATCAGACAGTCTAGGAGCAGGAAGGTGTGAGGAAGCCAGGAATTGCTTCAAATAAAGTCACTGATTTGAAGAAAAAGTGAACACACGAGCATCTTTTACTGTTAGAAGCACATTTGAAAAATTCACACATTTCAAAAGAAACAGAATTAGCTTCATTCAGGGAAAAGGGAAAGAGGGGAGAACCTAAGCATCGGAGCCCAGCTGCCAGGCTCACTGTGCTGGTTATGAGTCGGGAGTGCCCAGAGGTCAGCTTCTGTCATCAGAGGTGATGTGTAAGTAGATCAGTGTAACCTTTCTGTGTCATCCGCTTAAAGCTGAATAAAACCCCAAATAAGCACTGTCCAGCCAGGGGCTCCAGCCCCTGGCAACCCCTTGGGAGCTTGGCAGCTTCCATGGCATTTGAGATGGGCACTCTGCTGCCCTCCTTCCTCCTCTGATTAGGTGTTGCACCCCATGAGTGGACTCGGCTGGCAAGGGCTGCACCATTCTCCAAGCTGGGCCTTTTAAGCAAGTGCTGCTGTTCACAAGGAGAGGAGACCAGGGCACCTTCACACAGATGCAGCCCGAGGCCCAGGAGGACAGAGCAGCCAGAGCTCCCCATCACTGCTGGGTGGCAGGAGCATCATTTTGAGGACTCTAAATTTCAAGACACTAGACCAAGTCAGTCCCTTCTGCTACAGACTTTTAAAATCCTAATGCAAACTCTAGTCCCTCCCTTTGTTTGTCGCCCAGCACGTGAGTCTTTCTGATGACTCAGAAGCACTTCTCCTTCCGTCCTATCAGCCTTCAGAAGCCTGTTTATGGAGCCCCACCCTTGTTGGTCATGGCTGGTGGCTGTGGCCATTGCTGGCCCATCCGAGGGAGATCCATATCAGCCTTCTTGGCACTACTTACTTTTGTGTAGGTGCCTTGACTCCATTTCTGCCTTCTCTGGTCCTTGTTAAACAGGTTTGTTTAACATTCATGATTCAGCCCTGGTGCACACTGAGGCTTTGTAGTGTGTGAACAGGTTTTTGAGCACATAAAGATGCGTGCTAGTGTAGAATTGCCAGGAAGATGCTGGGTAATGCCGCTGGAGAAGGCAGTGTTTTTCCTTCCATTCATCTGGTTTTTGTAGGGCTTACGTGAGCCCCTGCCCTGGGGCACCTACAGAGCAGAAGAGCTGAGCCCTGGACTCAGTAAAAACTCCAGAGGGAGGTCAGGCAGGGGAGAGAGGAGGAGCTCCCAAGATGTTGTGCCCTTTAGGGATGCCGAATGCTCATTTGACAGATGTATGATATTAACTGACGAGTATCGTTTCAGTATTTGACATTACAGTGATTGAAGCAGCATTACAGTGTTGACCTCTGTATGATTCAAAGATCACAGTGCCAGAACATCCCCTATAGGTATCATTTGGCATTAGGGTAATCGTGGTCATCATCTGATTTTACCCTGTGGTAACTAAGAAATGGGTATGAGCTTTCCCAGAACAAGAGAGAATGTCAAAACCCTGCTGATAGCCCATCAGCCAGGGCAAGGTGGGATTCCAGATCAGATAGATAAGCAGGGAGACACATGAGAGTGTGTCCAGGCTGCATGTTTCTTCTTTTTTGTGTGTGACACAGGCTTGCAGCCATTACATCCCAGCACGTAGAATAGAGCAGCTTATCCATAAAGTCCTGAGTTTTTAAAGCCATGGTCATAAGAATGGAAAGTTGAGCCTTTCAGGGTGGGGGGTTGCAGATGTCAGTAACACCCAGGGGTGTTCTTCTCCCTCTCTTCCTGTGTCCTGCCCTGCAGGCGTCTCAGGGCACCCAGACCTCCTGGGAAGGCAGTATTTTACAAGAGTCGCAGGAATCTTCACAGGAAGGAAGAACTCCTCCATTTGTTCCAAAAGCCAACAACTGCAGTTTCACATCCTGCACTGACTGCAGGTCTCCTAGAGGCCACTGTCCCCTGGGCAGGGAAAGCGTCCACTACAGGGCCCAAGGGACCTCTGCTGAGCAGCTGCACTATGCCAGGACCCCCAACATCCTTTATGTGTATAATCCCCTCTAACTTCCTGTCACGGTTGGAAGAGGCCTTTAAAGCCTTCCACCCAGTTTTCCCTCTGCAGGGTCTCAACCAAGCTGTCATCCATCTGCCCCTCTATCTGGCCTGTGTTCACAGCTGCACAGGGCTCAATGACCAGGCTCTGTCACACCGTGGCCTTCAAGGCCAGGCAAACATCTCATGCTGTACAAGAGCAAGAAGTGCTTTTCAGGTTCTTGCTGGGCTGATAGCATCTGTCACTTGTCACACACCCATTTGGGGCTAGAGATGGTGAATGAGACCTCAGGAAACTCACTACTTAGGATTCATATTAAAAAACCACTGGTGATGATTTCAAACTTATCAGTCATGATTATTGAGATACGTGGTACATATCAGGCATTATCTTATGTCATTCCTGATGTTTAACAGCCTTTCAACAAAGATGACTAGGTTCCACTTTTCCCCCATTTTACAAAGCCCTTGGGACTTTGGGAGTCACGTCAGGCTGAGGCTCCGTTGAGACGCTGTAAGAACTGCAGTGAGGGAGGGCGCGACCCAGGTCTTCTGTCCCCATGCCGCTGGTCATTACATTAAGGGCACTCACCCATCCCCTTCGCTAGGTGATTCTCAACATGTCATAATTGTGTCTTTCAGATTAACTTTTTTAAGAAGGGAGCAGAGATGTTTTCCAAAAGCATGGACAGCTTTCTATCCTCTGTTGCAGACATGGTTCAGAGGTAATGCCGCTCACTGGTTTGGATCTTGGTGTGTTTCGCTGTCCCCGCTGAATAGGAGTCTGGGGGTGAGCTCTGACCATGAGCGCCTGTACAGGCGACACGCGTGGCAGAATAGGACGGAGCTAGTTTCTGCCCTTGTGGCCTTGTGTGACCTTCCCCACAGACCCTGCTGCCTCCTGTTGGGGTCCCTGTGTTAATACCAAGTTTCATCTGTTATAAACCCAAATCTAGTTTAAATTGTTTTTTTTTCCCCTCTGAGCTAATGGGATTAGTGGACAGAAGTGCTGGAATTTGGGGGGAATCTCTGACCATTACATTAATTTATGATAGGCAAGCTGTTAAGCTTCTTTTAAATTGCTTTAAAGAAAAGGTAGCTCAGCCATGCAAACACTTATTATTTTTTTCTAATTACTCTATTCAGGAGGTCAGCCCACACTTCATGATGGTCCAGCTGCTATCCCTCCTGCCCCTCCCTCAGCCTCTTGACATCCTGGAGCTCTGGGGCTGCCCATGGGCCCTGGCACATCAGGCTTGTTTCACCCTGAGCAGCAAGGACCTGTCATGACTTCTGAGGTCTAGAAATACACCTGTGGGCACACGTGCACATGTGTGTGGTTGAAAAATACATAAAATAGAAATAATATGGAATTTTATTTTGTGTGGAAAAGGATAAAGTTGCTCATTTTCTGAAGATATTACATTTCAAAATAGCTCATGAAGGCCAAGCAGTGGAACGTTTTTAGGCAGAAGTCTACTTCAAAGGCTCTAAGAATAAAGCATGCACCACAAGGGGCCAGGGCCAAGCCCTGGAGCTGGGGGAGGTGGTGTGCCTCTGCTGCTCCTCAGGTCCTTGTGCTGGGTGCCCGAGAGCTGGCCACAGTGAGCAGGGAGGCTGTATTTATAATTATGTGAGAAAGCAATCTGTGAGCTCTGATTTCAGTCTCTCACCCTTGAATTTGATGGTTAGCCCTGGGAACATGAGGGGAGAGAGGGAGCCTGCTGAACGTGGCGTCCCCACAGACCGCCCCCTTAGCCTCGGTCTCTCCCTGCCTTAACTCTCATAGCCCTGTGGCTTTCTGTGTCTCTGGAGAACCACCCACATTTCAAACACTGCTTAGGACCTGAGTCATTTTTGCTGACAGATGGCAGGCTGTTCATGCCCGTGTCATCGAGACGCCATGGTAACCTCTCTGCAGATCCCAGAGCCTGTCTTCCCCTCACGTCTGCCTTTCCATGAACCGTTATGAGAGCACTGACGTGTGGGCCTCCTTCCCAGCTGGACTGTGAACTGGGCATTAGCACAGAGCACCGCTGACTAAATGGCCTGGTCCCTGCATGCCATCCCTCTGCCACCTGATAAGGTGTGCTTCACTACAGGCTAAAGGCAGCCCACACATTGGATCCTCCTGGTTCAACTAGCTAAAGCCTTTGGTCCAGAGAATTCTAATTGTCCTCTCAGTTTAGAGACAGTGCATCCACTTCTCTCCAGATCACGAGGAAGCAGTGGCCTTGCTATCGTGTCACCATGATGAGCAGCCAGCCCAGCTGAGGGGCCTCAGGGCGGTGTCTAGTGGTGCCACTAACAATTTAGCGTCTTCAGGAGAGGTGGCTTCCCCTGGTGTTCTCCTGCTCTTAGAGCCCAACTGGAACCCAGAGAGGGCAGCATCGTTTCCAGCCACCCAACAGTCCTGGGGCTTTTTAAGCTCTGAATCCCACAGTGATATTTTATTACCTTTTTTCTTGGATCCTTCATGTGTGTGTAGAAACATACTTTTCTTAAAAAAAAAAAAATCTTTGAAGAGGACAAAAGCAGTTACTTTTCCACTCTGTTCCTTTGGATCACGGGGGCTTGGATTTGATTAGCGTTTTTGAGCCTAAGTCTGTCTGAGTAGGGGAAGATAGGGAAGGACAGTTACTAAGAATTTCCTACAGCTGTGTGCAAGATATCACATTAGGAGGCTTGGGTTGTGGCTCAGTGGTAGAGAGCTTGCCTAGCACATATGAGGCACTGGGTTCAATCCTCAGCACCACATAAAAATAAATAAGCAAAAAGGTATTATGTCCAACTACAACTAAAAATATTTTTTTTAAAAAAGATCACATTAGTGCACATTAGTGAGTATATTTCTGGGGAGATGAACCTTATCTTTCATCAGATCCCTCAAGAGGTTTCTCATCTACTAAAGCTAAAGAACAAGCCAGGTGCTGTGATACATACCTATAGGCCCAGGTACTTGGAGGCTGAGGCAGGAGGAATGCAAGTTTGAGGCCAACCTTGGGAACTTTGCAAGAGCCTATTTCAAAAATTTAAGTGTTGGAGATGTGGCTCAGTGGTAGAATACTTGCCTAGCATGTGTGGGCCCTGGGTTCAATCCCCAGTAATACAAAATACCAATAATAAAGCTGTCTACTCTTGAATGCCTCCTTCTGTGTCCTGTCCTGCTCCATTTTTCTGTATCATTCCATTTTTCTCAGCCTTGGCAGTGACTGGCAATTTAAGCCAGCGAGGTTTGTTCTCCAGTGACCTAAGGTCTCCACTGGTGGAGTTCCTAGTCATCCCATTCAAATGTCAGAAATTAACCCAGATGGATTGTTTGCATCAAGCTGTGTTAAACAGAAGATGGAGTATACAAGCCTAGAGTTATCTATGGAAGAGAGAAAATCTTGAGGTGCTCATTTTGAGAAACACTGGATTCCCTAGGTCCCTTGTTCTGATTTTAACATTTATAATTCTGTCCTTTCTTCACCCTGGTGGAATGGTGGAACACCTCTTTGGCATTTGCTTTCTCAAATAAGACCATGTTGGGCAGATGGTGTCCAGTCATCCTTTGTGGGTGGAAGGGCAGCTGCTGTTTCAAGCCAAAGCTTCTAGGTTTTCCACACCAGCCCCTCCCACATACGGAAGCTAGGGCTGTTACATCAGAGCCCAGGCATGGTCCTGCTTATTCTTCTCTGGGTAGCCCTTGACTAGCTCACCGTGCAATCTCTGGGCAGTTGGTGGATGTCATAAAAGGAAAAGTGTTGTTCTGAGCTTTGTTGTCCTGGGACACTCCCTGGTCATTTTCTTGTGACCTATCTTCACCACCCCTGCCTCACACCAAGCCCAGGGGAGGGTGACTGCTCCCATTCTTTGCTCTGTGGGACTTTCACAGGCTGCCTGCATGTACAGCCCAGGAGGATAGGCTTGCCAAAGCTCCCCCAGAATCTGACCACCAGTTCTGAGAATGGTGCTCTTCGCCAGCAATAAAACTGTTGATCTGGGTTCAAGCATAGTTTAGTGGTGTTCCTTTGGTGGGGGTGGTGTTTTGGTAGAGGGTGTTGTGTGTTTGGGGGGATTTTGTTTTTTGTTTTTTTTTTCCATCGTGCTGGGGATAGAACCAGGGCCTCGCTCATGCTTGGCAGGTGCTCTTACCACTGAAACCTCCCCGTCCCTTCTCGTGCAGTTCTGAGATGGTGTCTGAACACTGATCTGTAGCTCAGGAGTCTAAGTTGGAGGGTGGAGTGCTGTGGCTTCAAGGAAGGCTGGTGACTTCATGTGTAGATAGGAAGCTTTTGGGTGGGTGAGGGCCCTGCTACCTGCTTCTTATACTGCTGAGTTGGCCAGCAGCTTCTGACCAAGCTGCCACCTTCTGTCTTAAGCATTCAGGTGGAACTGGAAGCTGAAGCAGAAAAGATGCGGATATCTCAGCAAGAATTGCTATCTGTTGATGAATCTGTCTACACGCCAGACTTCGATGTGGCTGCACCCCAGGTCAACAGGAACCTCATCCAGAAGGCTGGTTACCTTAACCTTAGAAAGTGAGAATGCCAGTGGCTGCCTCTTTCTGAACTCTTCTCCCTAGGAAGTGGTTGTAAAGCAGTCTGTGGTGCCCACTGAGGCCTGAGGGTGGGGTAGGTGCACAGGAAGAGCTCGCACACAGCCCTGCTCCTACTAGAACACAGGACACTCTGGGGCCCAGGTCCCAAACTGCATGCAGAAATGGGGCTGGAAACAGCCTGTATGAGTGAGCACTCAGTGCCATGGACTCAGGAAGAGGCAGGCCACCCTCGTCTCTGGCCACCGTGGCCATTTGTAACTGCTCTATACTCATCATTCTGGATCATTGAGAGTTAGTGTCCCCCGGCCCTCTGCCACCCAGCAGGTGAGCATTTTGTTAGAGACCCATGTGGAGGTGAAGCTTTTGGTAAATCACATTCATTCAGATTAGGTCATACATTTGACACTTAGGTCCTTAAATTTACCATTCTGAATGAAAGGGATGGTCAAGTTAGCTGCTCCCAAGAGCAGAGAGAGGATGATGTCAGGGTATGTGAGGATTGGACACTGGCATCGGACATCCCGGCCAGAACGAGCCATGATCCCTCCCTGACAATGGCACCTACTTTATACAGTCGTTGCAAGGATTGAGCGAGGTCATTCCTAGTAGGTAGGAGCCCTCAGTTATTAGCTGTGTCTTGCACATAGTGGCAGCTCAGTAAATCCAGCAAATTACTCAGCATTCTGCAAGTGAGGGTGTCTACAGAGGAAATGCCACCTCTTCAGGTACAGCCCCTCTATGAAGATCACAAGCTGTGTGTCCCCATTCAATCTATAGAGGTGAAAGTCGTGATGTTATTTGCCAAGAAAGCATTTTCCTGTTGTAAGCATCTCACAAAATAACCTCCAGTTAGAGCAAAACCCAAGCTGGGAAGAGCCCCACCCCCATCATGGGCTGTGGGCTGAGACCCTAGTGACTCTAACTAGGTTCAGAGCTCCACGTCCTAGAGGAAAGATTCCCCGGATTTCAGGTTCTTAATTAGGAGACTGCTTCTAGTTGTAGGCAGCAGCTTTGGAAGCTGTGGCCGTGCTGGGGGAGCAGGGTGCACGTCCTGCTGAGGATCTGGAGTTGGCACTGGAACTGGCATTTCCTGTAGCAGTGGAGCCCAGTCTCCCAGGTCACTCAGGCCAAACTGATCTCTCCTGTCACTCTTTTTCAAAGAGGTTTTGCTTTACTATAAGGAAACAGTTTCTACAGTGTCACCAGTACCTTTAGACAGCAGCACAATTGGAGATGCTGCTTGGGCTTCACAGTGCTAATGGCTTTTCAATACCACCCATACAGCAAGACGGGGCTGGTCACCACCACCTGGGAGAGACTTTACTTCTTCACCCAAGGCGGGAATCTCATGTGTCAGCCCAGGGGAGCTGTGGCTGGAGGTCTGATCCAGGACCTGGACAACTGCTCAGTGATGGCGGTGGATTGCGAAGACCGACGATACTGCTTCCAGATCACCACTCCCAGCGGAAAACCGTAGGCCAGCGGGTGCTATCTGGGAGGACAAGTGTAGTGACACCGCCCCTGCTGAAGGCTGCCGAGCTCAGTCCTGTGGGCCATGCTCCTTGCGAGTCCCTATCTAGGTCATGCTGACCTTTTGGGAGAATGGTTTATGTTCTCTTTAAATAAGCATACGTGACCTATATATATGGGATCCAAACTGCTTCTTTTAGGGAGACCAGAGAGGACCTATGTGTGTCTTCATAGAGATGACCTACTTTTGTAAGAGCAACAGAGGTAATTCTTGTCAGCGTAGGTTCTGAGAGAAGGCAGTGGCCACTCCTGGCCTATCCCTGAACAGGCATCTGTGCCTCTGCAGTGGTGGTGCAGGCAGAGGGGAGGTGGGAAGGCTGCCCAGGAGTCCATGTTCCCAGACGAAATGGGAGATGTGAGCAGTGTGTTCAGCCATAGCAGGATCATTTGTTAGCATGCTGTCCCCACATACCCTGGGGACCTTGGGCCCAGCAGAAGTCGTGCTTTAAACATCGGCAGCCTGGGCTGGGGTTGTGGCTCAGTGGTAGAGCGCTCACCTAGTGCATGCGAGGCTCTGGGTTGCATCCTCAGCACCACATAAAAATAAATAAAGCAAAGGTATTGTGTCAACTGCAACTAAAAAAAAAAAAAAAAATTTTTTTTTTTTAAATCATCGGCAGCCTGTGGTCACTCACAGTAGAGCCCATTCCAGCAGATCCTCTCTCACTTCTACAGTGGTTTTCAGTGCGCTGAGGAGCTCACAGCCACATGTGTGCTTCCGCGGGCATGGAAGCAGAAGTGGGGTGGCATGGATGGCTCTCCTCCCAGATCAGCAGAGCAGTTTTAGACATGATCTTCTTTCTGGCAGTGAGCTAGATGATCCTGCATTCTAGTCATAGTCCCCTGAGTTACTTGCCTGCTCTGGGCCTCTGTCCTCTCAAGTGTGAAGTAAGGATAAGACCCTTTCCCCTATCTGCCAGACATAAGGAACAAAGAAGCAGAGGCAGAGGCCCTTTTAAAGAGTTGAGGCCCTCGTGAAGGTAGGGCAGTACTGTCATCGCACTCCCTGGCCTTTAAGTTCTCAGTGCCAGGTCCTTTGGGCATAGGTGGAGGAGTGGCCAGGCATCTAGAGAAGGGTCAACAGAGATGGTCCTTGCTGTGGGAGCCCAGACTTAAGTGGAAAGATACGACTCCCCCTCACTTTATAGATGAGGAAGCCTAGGCCCAGGGAAAGCAGGTGTTTATCCAAGACCAGGTGAATTGTCACCAGAGGCAGACCTAGCACCCCCCCCTTCCACCTGGTCATGCTTCCCCCCTGGTGCGGAGTTCAGTTGGCTTAGCATCCTCCTCAGGTAGCCTGAGATAGGGAAGCACTGATGTAGATGCATTTTCTTTCAGGGGAATAATCCTCCAGGCAGAGAGCAGAAAAGAAAATGAAGAGGTAAAGCTTTGACCGTTGGCCTTTTTCCTAGTGTGGTGGGTGGCTTTTGGATTGACATTCTTTTTACTGTCTTCTGCAGTGGATATGTGCAATAAACAACATCTCCAGACAGATCTACCTGACCGACAACCCTGAGGTAATTGGCATCTGCCTGCAGCTCAGCCTGAAAGGTAGGCGCCCCCTCCTGGACTGAGCATGTCTCCTGTGGCTTTTAGGCAGTCGCCATCAAGTTGAATCAGACGGCTCTCCAGGCTGTGACTCCATTTACAAGTTTTGGGAAAAAACAAGAAAGCTCCTGCCTCAGGTAACTAAAGGACAAAAGAAAACTAGCTGTTGTGGAGCCAAACCATGTACAAGGAATTTGACCAGATGTTAGCTAATCCTCAGCCCCCTCCAACCCCCACCACCACCCCAGGGGTGCAGTTAGCCCTGTTCATTGGAACAGTGACTGGCTGGGAAAGGTTAGGTGTCCTGCCCATGTTCACAGGTGGAGCCAGGATTCAAACCTATCTGATTTCAACACCCCTGTCCATTTCCACTGGACCACACTGCTGCAGTTTGAGTAAATTTTTGTGTCAAGGTCCTGTCAGTTTGCCCACATTTTCCATTAGCATCAATAGTACCATAACCAGAACTAATTTTCTTTTTTAAATAAGAAAATCATCTTGTTGTGTCTGGGTTACTACCCAGACGTATTCTTTATGTGTAGTGGTATTTCACATGTACATTTTTAAACATTTCTAGATTTTTCCTGATGGTTTAATACCATTCCATCATTTATTATTGCCATTAGCCATTGAATATTTAGGTTCTCTCCTTCCATTGTTTGCTGCTGTTATCAAGGTGAACATTTTCTTACATAACAGCTTTTCTCTTGAATACCATTTTAGGATTGACTTTAGGAAATCCAACCTTTTGTCTTCATGAAAATCTCTACATGGCAAACTAGGTAGTAGAGGGCTGGCTTATTTAGCATGCTGGTGAAAGCGTGGCATCAAAGGGCAATTAAAATCCTGACTGCACGGTGTCTTTTAGACACTCTCTAAAGCAGCAGGAGCCCAGTGGTTATGTACCTTCCTAAGTTCACACTCCTGGCATTGGGTATATGAAGAGGTAAGGTCAGAAAATAGGTTTGAGCTTGACAGTGAAAGATATGTCCTGCTCAGAAGTGACAGGCAGTGGAGCAAAACTGAATGTTTTAAGAAAAGGGGTGACGATCAGAACCAGGTTTAGAAAGACCGTTCTGCAGCATTACATAGGATAAACTGGGCAGGAGGTGGTGAGGAAAGTGAGACTCAGCAGGTGCTGGCGGTAGTACTTGCATCAAGCAAAACGTGGACCCTTCACAGCAGTGACAGGAATGATAAAGAGACAAGTCTGAGGAAGACTTGGGTGCTTTAAGGCAGGCCTTAGCAGATTCTAGCAGCAGTGTAGTGTGCTCACGAGGTGCAGCTCTAGGGAAAGCACCATGTGGAAGTAAGTGAGTAAAGATCTAGGAGGCGCAGGTGAGCCCTTTGGCCTTCTGTTCCTAAAACCATGACATCAGTGGCCGAAGAAGAGAGGTGCCTGCACAGCCTGATGTCCCTGAGTGAGCTAGTCAGCTGCTGGACCTTCTCTACTTCATTTGGTGACCTGAGAAACCACATGACCTCCATAGCCCCTCCAGCTCTAAGATGCCATCTTCCTAGAGTGCTGATGGGTAATTTAGTGTCAGTATTAGAAGGTGTGATTTTTTTCTGGAAAGAAACTTGCAGCTCATTTTAATTATTCAGTAACTGATTTTTCTCCTGTTCTAGAATAAGTGAGTCACATTCTTAGAAAGGACTCTACAGAAGGGACACAGACGAGTCCCTTGGGGGAAAGTGGATGACTTAGGGAGTCATGGAGGGCTGGGAGGGCAAAGATAGAGAGGCAGAACCAGGCAGTCCTTGGGAATGATGGCTTAGACCAGGACCATGGCAGAGATGAAAAGGACATGAATTTGGATTTATTTTGTAGGTAAGCCAGCCAGTTGACTTAACCCAAAGATTAAAGGGGTGACAGATGTGGCTACCAGATGGCTCCAGAGCTGTGAGGGGAGGGAGCCTCTCTTAGAATAGCTCATTAAGATGACAACAGAGGAAAGCAGCAAAGAAAACCTTTTCTTGGGAATAAACTATCATTTACTTCTAAACAAATCCGCATGAAATTCCCTCACTTTGCAGTTATTACATACCTGCTTCAACAAATATTGTGTGCCCAGGACTGAACTAGGTAAACTTACAGAATACTGGGAAAAGACCCACAAAAGGTAAACCTACACTATTTTTTTTTTAAAAGAGAGAGGAGAGAGAGAGAGAGAGAGAGAATTTTTAATATTTATTTATTTTTTTGTTCTCGGCGGACACAACATCTTTGTTGGTATGTGGTGCTGAGGATCGAACCCGGGCCGCACGCATGCCAGGCAAGCGCGCTACCGCTTGAGCCACATCCCCAGCCCCAAACCTACACTATTAAAATGGGGGAAAGAACTGTGATATTAATGACCAAGGTGCTGTCATGGACAATGTAGAGATGGCCTGTGCAGGGCCTGTCTGTGGAGGTGTTCAGATTGACAAATACAAGATGAGAAGTCACTGTTCTTGCAGCCAGCCAGAGGTGATGCATTCCTGACAACAGGGGTGATGAAGCAGGAAAGAGCTTAGCACACCTGAGAAACTGTTAGGCAAAGGAGATCATGGAGCAAGATGAGGCTGACCAGAAGGAAGCCATGTTCAGGATCTTGGGGACTCATGGAGGGAGGAGGGCAGACAAAGATGGAGAGGCAGAACCACGCAGTCCTTGGGAGTGGTGGCTAGACCAGGACCATGGCAGACATGAAAAGGACATGGATTTGATTTATTTTGTAGGTAAGTCATGTGGGACATGTGATGGATGAGATATGGAGTAGAAGGAAAAGGACAGTCAAAGGACAACCTTTGTGTCTGGTGGCAGCAGACACAAAGAGGAGTTCTGTTTGGGTCACGTTAGGTTGAAGAGGCTTTTAAGTCTTCCCAGTCAAGCATTTGACCAAGGATTCTGGCTAGAATGCAAGTCTGAGCAGGGTATGAGCCAAAGCATGAGACGGTAGTGGAAGAGATTGTGTGAGGCGAGCGGGCAGAGGGAGAAGTGGAGGCTCTGAGAGAATCCTGAAAAACTCCAACATCTGGAGTAGAGAAGTACCTCCAGAAAACCCACAAGTGTGGCACAGCAGAACCTGGAAGAGAGGGGCTACAGGGAGGAGAAGCCATGTCCATTAGAGGTCAATTAGGATGATGATTACAAAGTGTCCATCAAAACTGGAGATCCCAGGTGAAACTTGACGTGTTACTCTGTTCAGAGTCCTCAGTGGCTTCCTGTACTGGAGAGTCAAGTTCTGATCCAGCCCCAAAAAACGTTAGCATTAAGGTCTTCAGTAACCTGGTCCCACCCTCACTTGATTGGGCTACCGCCCACTTGACACTCTGGGGAGCCAAAATCTTGGACTTTCTCCCTTTAAACTTCTACTCACACCACTCTCTTGTGCTTACTACTTATTAAATCATAGGTCCTTCATAACAACAGGATCAAAAAGCAGCTGTGATTCTACCACTGAGATTACTGAGGCAGCAAGGGGAGCTCTACCACTCTTAACCTAACTCACAGGTTGTCTAGGAACCTCAATTTTTTTCTGTTACCAATGGAGTTTAAAAGGTCTCCAAGGTTCTCTTGCAGTGGCCATCTCCAAGCCTATGTAGTCCAACACATTCCATTCAGTCATTGACCATCTGTCAAATGACTCTTGTAGTTTCACACAGTCATTTCTGTTCATTTGATGTTTTTGTAACAAAAATCTGTTATAAAAACATCAAATGAGCAGAAAGATAATTGAGGGCTTTGTATGATCCTGACAATTAAATAAAAATATTGATATTCTGTGCCCCTCAAAGGAGTTTACATTCTAGCTAAGGAGAAAAGATTTTTCAATGGTGAAGTTAAATTGTAGTATTCTGACACTGGAAGAGAAGAAAGAAATATGTTGGTACATGATTAATCACTATGCAAATGACACAGTTTTTATAGGGTCCCCTCAGAAGCAGTGGTGGGGTTTGTGGCAGCGGGGCGGGAATATCACAGTGTTAAGCTCAGGGGTACCAGACTGGCTCTGTGACTTTGAAGACTCAGGAGCTAAAGACTTACAGGCTGGTGTGTGGGGGAGAGCTGGCTAACTCTTCTCTGAACACTTACTAGGCAGTGAGGGCAGGCCTTGGGGCAAAAATAGGGGGAGCACAGGGTTTTCAACATCAGGCACCCCACACCCCAGCTGGAGGCAGCTGCAAGGTGCAGCACGTGGAGGTGTGGCTCTAGAGGAAGTCATCATGGGAAGGGGAGAGGGTTCCAGGTAATCAGAACCAGACTGATCAAATGCCAAGACACTGGTTCTTGTAGCTAACACTTTGAGTTCCTACTAACGGTCCCTACTTTTAAATAATAATATGACTTTGCTATAGCCCCAACCTCAAAAACCTGTCCAAAGGAAGAGATACGTGATATAACAGGTTGTAGTGTCACAGCTCAGATTGTTGTGGGGCGATCTGAAGGTTTTTAGCCAGATGTGATTGGAGTGAGGGACTGACTGAAATCTCCCTTGAGATTTTAAAAGTCATTTGATTCCCTGTCCCCCATTTTATACTTCAGCCAGAACTTGAAAAATTCAGAAACAGAAAATGACAAGATTGTTCCCAAAGCAAAAGTCAGTATTCCTGAAGCAGAAGAACTGATCGCACCTGGGACGCCTATTCAGTTTGATATTGTACTTCCTGCCACAGAATTCCTGGATCAGAACAGAGGGAGCAGGTATGGGATAAGGGAAGATATCTCTGGGAGAAAGTAGATTCAATATCTTGTGTTCCTTCCACCATCACCACCAAAGGTCATGGCCCATTCTGACTTAGAATTCAGTGTATTCAGTGTCCTTTCAGCAGTAGCTGTCATGATTGTTGACCTTGGCTATTCCCCTAGGCGGATCAACCCTTTTGGTGAAACTGAAGATGAGTCATTTCCGGAAGCAGAAGGTAAGTGGCAAGTTTGGTGTGCTTATTCTTTCCCCTGCAGAAAATGATCAGGGTAATTGAAATAAGATGTGAAATGTCCTAAGAGAACTCTGATTTAGAATATGAACTGAAATTATGCGCCACCCCATACTGTCTTTGGAGCTCCTCCAAAGAAATAGGTTGTGTCTAAAGTCTGGTGCTACTTGTATCTGGCTGTCTTTGTACACTGTGTGGCAACAATCCAAGGAAAAAAATCTTTCAGTGGTGGAATGAGATGGACATTATTACCCTAGGTACATGTATGACTGCACATGTGGTACGACACTACATCATTACACCTAGAGAAATGAAAAGTTTGCTGCAACTGTCTACAATGAATCAAAATGCATATAAACCTAATTAAATAAATAACTTAAAAAAATCTTTCAAATGTGTCTATACAAAAAAAGAAATTAGGAGCCAGGAATGGTTGCACATACCTGTAATCCCAGTGGCTCGGGAGGCTGAGGCAGGAGAAGCATGAGTTCAAAGCCAGCCTTAACAAATTAGCAAAGACCTAAGCAACTTAGTGAGAACGTGTCTCTAAATAAAATATAAAGAAGAGCTGGGGATGTGGCTCAGTGATTAAGTGCCCCTGTTACCCCCACAAAAGTTACTATTAGAGTAACCATTTATAGTTTCCTAGTAATTTTTAAACCCTTACGTTATTTTTAGGGACAGAGAAAAAAAGGCCCTTCAGTTTAAAATAATGGGTGCATGAATTATTGTTCCTACTGAAAAAGTGAACTTTAAAAAAACATTCATTATCTTTAACTTGTGGTTGCCATTATCCAGTTTTGTCAGATTATATGCCAATATCTAGAAGCTAATGTTGGAAATTCTTTAGGATCAATAAGTTATTTTGGTTTATAATCATTGTCTCAGTTATAAGTATGATATATGAGCTGAGTGAGACCCAACATCAGGTCTCTCTTACCACAAATAAAGCTGCCTCTATAAGAAGCCCAAATAATTAATGAGTTTTCCAGGATCTAGTGGAAATGCTCTTGAGATTTAGTTCTAGAAGTACATTCACCTGGCACTTCCATCTCATAAATGGAGAAAAAGAAGAGCTTTTCTAGTCTGTTTAAAGTAGTTTCAAACTGACAGATGTAGAGAAAAGATTCAGAGCTTTTAGCAATACTAGGCTTTGAAAAGTCTTATTGAGAAATTTGAGTAGAAAGTTCTTCATAGAAAGCAAGCCTGAGGTCTTTGGCCTGTTCAGACAGGGTATCTGGCATTGGTAAGCAGATTAACAGCAGGCAAAATAAATGTGATTCTGAGCAGAATATGCTCTCTTGCAGATTCTCTTTTGCAACAGATGTTTATAGTTCGTTTTTTGGGGTCAATGGCAGTTAAAACAGACAGCACTACCGAAGTGATCTATGAAGCAATGAGACAAGTGTTAGCAGCTCGGGCTATTCATAACATCTTCCGAATGACAGAGTCTCATCTGATGGTCACCAGTCAAACTCTGAGGTACATTTGGTTTCATTTTCATACTCTCATGGCTGCATTTGATTCCTCTTTTAGGGCACATCAACCATCTGAAAAATTAGTGCCGGAGTATGTTCAATTGAATTAGATGAAGATGCTAATCTTGTTTCGCCCCTTTCCTTTTTACATTTCCATTTTATAAGATATAATATAAAAGATGCTCCCTTAAGGACAAAAATTCAGTGATGACTAGAATTCCCTTATCAGAAATGCTTGGGACCAGAACTGTGTTGGATTTTTTCAGATTTGGAATATTTGAGGTGTTGCGGGATGAAACACAAGTCTAAATATGAAATTCTTTTGTTTCATATACACAAAGGTAATATTTTAAATAATATAATATTTTTAATAATTTTGTTCATGAAATAAAATTTCATGGTGTGGAATTTTCCACTTGAGGCATCATGTCAGTACATTTCTAACTTTGGGGCATTCTGGATTTCTAATGTTCAGATTAGGTATGTTCAGCCTGTACTATGTTTCTAACCATGCTGTTATTCTATTCTCTATGTCATATCTCAGCTTGAAAATGAAACTCACTTGAGAGTACTGTTTATAAAAATTAACAATGAAAAAAAAAACATGAATCTGCCTAAACTAGACTACTTAACTAGTTGGAATTGAGATAGTTTTTCAGTGTTAGTACATGTCTGACAGTATTTTAGATTAATTTGTTTCTTTTCATGTTTCTTACTGTGGCTGTTGGGAAGACTTAAATGATGTGTAAGACTTCATACCTTACTTCTACGAGACAGCACTCTGTCAGAGCCAAAAACCGTCAATAACATTTGTTATTATTAGAGATTTTGATTGAAGATAGTAAACCGGGAATAATAATTCATTCCGAGAATTTCACAATGTCAAGTCTCCTTACTATGGCCAGTTATCAAGCCTTGGCCTACTTGTCTTAGTCTTGTTTTGAATAAGTCTCGTGGGGGCCTTTGGGAACGAAATACAAGCTTTTATCATGTGATCTGTACAAAGTACAACAGCCCTATATCTTCCCTTGACTCAGACAAAAAGTTAAGTCAACTTCATCTATCTGATCACTCAACTAAAAGCATCCTAAATACCTTTCTCTCCAAATTCCTGATCTAGTTAATCACTGAGATGGATCAACTCTACTTAAATACTTTTCCTTTCTTTCCCACTCCATTCCTCCAACCTCAGCTTAATTCCTATGATCAATCAATACTGCTCATTTGGACTAACATTAATGTATTTACTTCTAGTCTGTCTTGTTGAATAGAATTTGCAATGGTTTACAGAAATATAGTAGGACAGACTCAGGCTGAGGCAAAATAATTAAAAGTTTCAGGCCAACCTGAACCTCTCAGTAAGATCCCATTCTGAGAGCTGGAGATGTACCTCAGCATGAAAAGACCCCTGAGTTCAATCCCCACTACTGAAAAAAGAGAAATACTATAAGAATAATTGTTTCAAGTATACAAGAAAACAAAAATTTTTTAAAAAGTGAGAAAGTTAAATAAGTTTAAATTGATACATCGAAAAACCACCCTCTGGCATTTTAAACAACTAAACGTGGACCTCTGTGGATTTTCCAATAAGAAAGCAACCAAATCTCTGGCTAAGGAAGTCAGTTCCTAAGCCAACCTGGTGGAGATTGAGTCCTGCTTTTTCTTCTATTAGGTGCAGGGTCTCTGTTCCAGTGCCTAAGTCTTTGAGTTGATTTTTGTGCATGGTGAGAGATAAAGAGGTCTAATTTCATTTTCCTACATATGGATTTCCAGTTTTCCCCAAAGAGGTCTAATTTCATTTTCCTACATATGGATTTCCAGTTTTCCCAACACCGTTTGGTGAACAGGTTATCTTTTCTCCAATATATGTTTTTGGTGCCTTTGTCTAGTATGAGATAATTGTATTTATATGGGTTGGTCTCTGTATCTTCTATTCTGTAACATTGGTCTACATGTCTATTTTGATGCCAACACCATGCAGTTTTTGTTAGTATTGCTCTGTAGTATAGTTTAAGGTCTGGTATTGTGATGCCTTCTGCTTCACTCTTCTTGCTGAGGATTGCTTTAGCTGTTCTGGGTCTCTTATTTTTCCAATGAATTTCATGATTGCTTTTTATATTTCTATGAAGAATGTCATTGGGATTTTAATAGGAATTGCATTAAATCTGTATAACAGTTTTGGTAGAATGGCCATTTTGACAATATTAATTCTGCCTACCCAAGAACATGGGAGATCTCAATCACAAGATCGAATTTCCATTACATACACACAGCTCTACAAATCTGTTTTTTAAATATACCTGGAGTTGTTACACAGAGATTGATTCACTCTAACCAAACTTAAGAGACCTAAAGGTGGAATGGATGCCAGTGTTTTAACATATAGTGGTATACATTACTGTTATAAGTCTGGAATGCTTCTTACCAGCTGGACAGCCCATCTGCCTGTGATTTCTATGGGAGGCCAGACTATATGAGGGTTTTATACCTGGCTATGGCATTTCTTAGCTGCACAACTTCAGGCAAACTTCCTTAACCTCTGTATCTCAATTCCTTTAATTTTTAAAATGAAAACTGTATTCACACCTCATAGTGTTGAAATAAGAAATAATTGAGTTAATATATTTAAAGCATTTACAACTGACTGGGACATGGAAAATGCTCAATGTCAGCTTCAAGAAAAGTAACTAAAACTTTGGCAAAAATGAGGATTTAGTTTCTGCCATTCATTAAATCTGCCCTTTTCATTTACTTTAAACATTTTCAAATATTTCTGATGAACCTTACCCTGAGAATTAGATTATTATGAATAAAATCTTATTTTTTTAAAAGCTTTTCTCAGGATATGTTCTGGATCTTTTATAGATCCAGGACATATTTTGACTACTCTAGACATATCTTCCCTACTCTAGACATTTCAAATATATGGAAATTATAACCATTGTTTTAAAAACAGATTTTTGCTTTCACCTAAAAAAACTATACCAATTCCATAATAATTTATACACCATGTTAATTAAACTAACACAATATAAGTATATAGGGGAAATTTACCTCTTTGTATTTAAGACAACATTAAATTCTCTAATGCAGGTCCAAGATACATCAACCTCATTATTAAATGAAGCTTAAAATGTTGAAAGAATACAGTCTGAAATGCCTTCTTAAAATTAAACATAACCCCTCTTACATCCATCCTGAAAAGTATAGTTTTGTCAAAACCCCTTCATTCTCTTTTCACACCTACCCCCCCACACACACACTTTTTAAGTTAAATTTAAAATAAATTGATCCAGCACTTCAGGGTAACTAAAGAAGCCAATGAATGTTGGAAAGGAAGCTTGTACAGAATATGATCCATTCTATTATACACTAGAACTCTCAAAAATTATGCTGCTGCTTTTTTGGGGGGTAAGCACCAAAACATTGAAAATCAGTTCTTCTACTTGCTTATAATCTTCCACTATAGACAGCCTGAGTATTACCTACAGAGGTTCAAAAAAGGCAGAAACCACAGCACATGGTCTCATGAAACTGTTTTGCCCTGCCCTCAGCCCGACCTTATTTTTTATCTCTGAGGTTATTTGATGACTTCATTCTGAACTTTTACCTATTTTATAACCCCTCCCTCACCAGTTCTTATAAGTTTTTTCAACATTTGTGATATTATAAATCTCTTAAAATTGCAGGTTGATAGATCCTCAGACTCAGGTGTCAAGGGCCAACGTAAGTACCTCATCCATGTTAATGTTAGTGATTCAATGCCTTTTACCTCACCTTCTACTTTAAACACACCTAGGCACTTAATAATTTGTTAAATGACAGTCACTACTAGTACATTCTTTTTCACGACTTTTCCATAGAGAATAACCTTATTTTTAAAATTCCAGTTGTTGTGATTACACATCTAACCCTTTCCCATCCCTCCAGTTTGAACTTACCAGTGTCACACAGTTTGCTGCTCATCAAGAAAACAAAAGACTGGTTGGCTTTGTCATCCGAATTCCAGAGTCCACAGGAGAAGAGTCTCTCAGCACGTACATTTTTGAAAGCAACTCAGAAGGCGAAAAGGTCTTGTTTTTTGTTTGTTTTTTAATATTAAGATTCTGTAAAATCTCAATCCAGACAAGTCCATTTTTAATGATTTTCTTTCTGTACTAGCCCCCTGTATCTAGTTGGTCATTCCTGTGTTCAGACAGTCATCCAGGAATTCAGACAGTGATAGTTCCTAGGAAGGCTCTACTAAATTAAGAAAACTGACTTGATTAAAGTTTTCCCATGGAACAAATTATATGTCAGCTAAAATAGGGTGAATGGGGAAGAACTATATTAGCAAGATAGTTTATTATTATAAGGATATCATGAAATGTTAAAAGCAGTTCCCCCAAAATTTGTTCCTTAAAAGAAATAATAAAGCAGAAAGTTACAGTAGAGAATAGTCTCAAAGAGCAAATCAAGGAAGACATCAGGAAAACACATCTAAGCTGTTCTTTTGTTTAGTATGAAAAATACTGACTACATCTGGTACTTAGAATTATCAAAGTTAATCTTCCTTTATTAAGTATCTGTTTACCATTATGTATCTGAACATGTAATAGCTAAATATACTTCAGAGAAAAAAATCCTATCAGGAATTTTAAATGCTGGAATAACTTAACTTTCCTGTAATTTTTTTTGTATGGTACAAATCAGCAATAGGAGGTCAGGACATTTGTATGCTGGGACAAATCTCCAACAGCCAATCCTGTCTTTCCATGTGGACATAAACAGTGCCCTCACTATATTTCCGTATCACATTTTTTTTCCTAAAATTTTTATCCTTTTCTACCTTTACCAAACATTACTTTTCTTGTCTTTTGCAGATATGTTATGCTATTAATTTGGGAAAAGAAATTATTGAGGTTCAAAAGGTAAGGTGGATTTTAGTGCTGGTTTAACAACTGTTCTATAGACATTTGTACATTTTTCTCAAGAGAGAAAAGTGATACTCATTAGACAGTGAGACCAAATTTGGGATTTTCTTTAAGCATTCTAACCACCAGACATCTTTGATCATCTGTTTCCATGTTCACTGGTAGCATATCTATACTTTTTAATTAATAAGTATCATTGCTGCAGCTCCTGCTTTATTAATTTTCTTGCTTGCATACTAGTTGGCTAGGTTTCCCATGAGGTAGGTACCCACCATGCTCTACGGCCTTGCTCCTTAGAGGACGATCATAGGCCCAGCAGCATTGATAGTTATCACCTGGGAACTTATTAGAAATGATCACTGTCTCTCACATTAAGCAGCTTACAGTCTGATCCAACAAGTTTTTGAGAACCTATTTTATATAAAAAATCCTGGAATTATAGTAGTGAAAGGAAAATATGGTCCTTCATCTCGGGGTATCTTTAAGTCCAGCAGTGTCTAGAAGAATTATATTACATAATAGAAATGTTCTAGATCTGCATTATTTAATATGCATACTGAATGTGGCCAGTGAGGAACTGGATTTTTAAACTTAAAATATTTTACTTTAAAGAGTAAAATGAAGATACCTTTTTAGTGTAGTCAGTGCTTGAAGAGGGTGGAAGACCTATAAACTTGAAATAATGTCACACACTACAAAGTTAGTATTTAATGGTATAGGTGAGAAGTTGGCCCACTTTTTCTATAAAAGGTCTTTATCTTTTAGGCTTATTATCTTCACAGCCTCTTTACTCTGCTATTGTAACAAAAGCAGCCATAAGCAGTATGTAAATGTACAGCTGTGCTCCCATAAAACTTAGTGACTAAATAAATAGTGAGCTAAATAAATGGCCATGGTTTGTCAACTCCTGATGTAGACTAAAGACAGAAAAGAATGGGGTTTAAAGACAAAGAAGACAAAGATTTTATGATGGAAGTTCCTATATGGACTCTCTTTGGAAAGCTAATTATGGGTACATAAGTGATATTATGACCAAGAGGAAAATTAGCCTGGACTCTAGAATAAGTAATGCCTTTGAGTTTTCTTTCAGCAAAGTGAGGAGACCCAGCTGAAAGCCCACATTGACAAGAGTCAGGAGGAATGAGGTTAGGTAACAGAACACACTGAAAGCCAAACTGAAGGGGTTTAAGTGCATCTTAAGCATTTTCTTTTTTCCTTCTTTTAAACTCTCCTAACTTCAGGATCCAGAAGCACTGGCTCAATTAATGCTGTCTATACCACTAACCAATGATGGAAAATATGTACTGTTAAATGATCAATCAGATGACAATGATGGAAATCCAAGTGAAAATAGAAGCGCAGAATCTGAAGCGTGACTCACTGGGGCCTGTGGGGGAAGCGCGCACAGGAAGGAAAGCTACCTCCTTAAGGGTTTTCAACTTCTCTGATGTATAGGCACACTGACCTGGCTTCAGAATGCTGACAATCGTTTGTGGAATGTGCCCTTTGATGCCTTGATACTGAGACTTGGGAGGGAAACAGTTAAGAAAAGGGTGACAGCCTTCCTACCCATCTACAAATGTTATTTTAGGTGCCTTGTGGTAAGTCTTTTTTCCTTAGATTGCATTGCAGTGCTCACAATGAAAGCTATGAAAAATGCATTGTTCATTTTATCTGAATGTCATCTCTTGAGTTTCTAGTGTCTATTTTAAAGGTGGAGAAAAAGTAGCTTTACAAGTTGATAAATACTAAATATTTCCAATTAATATAATCTATTTTTATATTTTACTTAAAGCTTATCAAGTGCCTGTCATCCTGAAGGTTGTATATTTATAATTCAGCTTATCTCATAATTGGACCTAGCAGCATTACCATGTGCAGTGAGGTGACAAGCACTGCTTTGAAGCCCAAGTACCAGTAGAGATGCAGGTCTAGTATTGGCAACTATGTTAGACATCATGCAATAAAAGGACTAGTAGATGAATACTACAAAGAAAGTTTTATAACACAACCTCACTGAACCAGCATTCAGAAGTTTAAGGTCCTCTTAGATATGACCTTTAAATGGCTATTCAGGATGCAGCTCTATCAGTTCCTGTTTCTTCTGAGCCAGACCCTCCTCAAGGAAGGGGTCAATTAATTTTTAAAACTCACTTGAAGCACAGCTGGTCGTGGGGCTTGGTCTTAAGTTCCTATTTCTACCCCAATATTTCTTGTTCCAAGACTCCCAGATCCCTCCTAGCTATGAAATAAATATAAGATCATGAATTGGTACAGTATGTTTAATTGTAACCAAGTTCAACAGACTATCATTTTTGTAATTAACCAGCAATAAAAATTACCATTCTGTTTCTTTCTTTTGCTTGCTGTTATTTTGTAGAATATTTCCTGGAAGGAAACTAGAGTCAGTTCTCTGGATATAACAATTTAACAAAAACAAAAAACAAAACAAAACAAACACCACTAAGGTTTAATGAAATCACTGCAGAGGGGAAAGCTCATCAAAAAGTAACTATTCAACATGAGTATTTTTTTAAATGGGGAATTAATAAAACAACCTTTGCAGACCAAAACTAAGTTAACTTCATAGGGTCTATTAGAAGAATCACTCCTGAAATGTGTACACCATCAGAGACATGATTAGCTGATCTAAGCCAATATGAGACCATTAAGTGAGTTCTAGATTCATTCTAACTGTAGTAGATCAGTAAATTCTCAGCTGCAAAAGCCACAGTCCTCCCTGCCCCCAATAGACTTTTTCAATGGAGGGAGGTATGAAGTAGACAATCTCAAGTCTTAAACAGTTAGTTACTAGGTTGGAAACTAAAGCATTGTTAATACAGTGGCTTAAATAAAATATAGACCATGCAGAAAATAAGGAAAAGAGAAAAAGTCTGAAATTCAGCACCTTAAAAAAAAATTTCATCACAAAATACGAGGGCTGGGGAAGAAATTCAGTGACAGCACTTGCCTAGCATTGTGTGAGGCTCTGGATTTAATTGAAACCCATCATCAAAAAAAAAAAAAAACAGAATGAAAATATTAACTAAGCAAAGATACAAGACCAAATATTCAGAATATATAAAGTACTCCCAAGTATTTTAAAAACGTACAAAGTCATGAAAGCATTTCATAGATTAAAAACTACAAAGTACTCAAACAGAATTGTGCTCATTTTCTCTTAATAGAAAGTGCAAATTAAAACAACAGACATTTTATATTCAACAGACTGCAAATATTCAGCTGTTGGAAGGGAAAGGAGCAATGGGGAGTCTAACCCACTGCTGAAATGAGAGAACAATGTGACAGTCTATAGTAAATTTGAAAGTGTGCCTGTCCCACCACTTAGCAGTTTCAACATATGCTCTAGGACATGTACAACAGTGGTTACAGCAAGGATGTTCAATAGTATCCCAAATGTGAAAACCCCAATGTCATCAATGGTACAGTAGGTTAAACATCTACAATCACTAACAATATTAGAGAAGTAAAAATAAGATATAGCTATGCACCAACATGCATTTCAAAAATCATACTAGAGTCATAAAAACATACAGTGTAAGATGCTATTTATGGTAAGGATAAACATGCAAAACACTACATTATTTAGGAAAATACAGAAAGGTGACAAAACTAAACAAAAGCAACAGATCTATTTCCACCAAACCCTGAACAGTAGTTGGGGGAATGCTGGGAGGGAGCCTCTGAGGAAGTGGGAACAAGTGTTCAACCAACACCGTCATTTCCCAAGTAGTATTCTTTAAATAGGTCATACATATTTTTAAATAAAAATTTTAATTTAGAAACCAGGTGATCTGCACTTTTTCCTCAACTTACTGAATTATGTATTAATGCATATAGAAGCCCTGTGAAAAATTAGTGCCAAATGAATGGTGGGAGTATAGGAAATGGAACCTTTTTAGAAAACCAGCTATCCTCACCAGTTTCGATTTCCATATGGATTTCTCCATCACATACCCATAAGTCTGCCCTCTTATGACTGCTTTTAGGGAAGAGCAAGGCCTTCTTCACATTTACAACTAGCCTAGTCACTGAGCTAAGAACATAGACTCGCCACAGTCAAATACAGACTGCTTTTCAAACTCCACCTAAAAGAGTGATAATAGCAGCTAACACTTATATACCAAATGCATTTCTACCTAAGAGTACAAATCAATAAACCATATAAAATAGCTAAAATGTAAAATATAAAGTGTTTTATATAAATTAATCCTCAAAATCTCATGAACTCCTTATTTTTACTATCCCAACTTGTGCCTATATAACCTCACAGGCAGCAAATCAAGATTCACATCAGTCTGTCCTTGGAGTGTATGCTTCTAACCACTATGTGTTATGTATATGACCTCAGAGATAAGCAATTACCAAATATTTCTTAGTACTAAGCTGTGAAGATTATTCTGATATTCAGAAACAATTTCAAAGTATTTTTATTTCTACAAAAATTGTTTAAATACTTTAAAATTGATTGTATATCAACAGATACTTCTAGGTATAAAAGTTTCCCTCCTCCTTAATGAGGGCACTACTACAGAATGCTTCAGTTTACATATATCTTACATACATTATACAATGTTTTAGTTCTTAAAGATGATCCCAGAATTATGCATCATCAGACATGCATCAATAGAAAGATAAATTTCATCTATATTCCTGCGAAATTTATCTTCACTAATGGGAACTCGAGAGATCACTTAGTTTTAAGTGGTAATGAAGAGGTAAGCTATCAAAATAGGGAAACTACTTACTGGCCAAACTTTTTATACACTGTACTATATGTAAAAATTTACTTTTATATAAACTATAACTTTGCCATCACCATCTCAAGAGTTCCTTGTGCAATCTAATTTCCATAGATTTCCACTTACTGTAGATTCCTCTTTTTTATCTGAAATCTTAAAAACCTATGTAATTGTTCCTAACACCTAAAAGCTTTGTTTAAAAATTATTTTTATACAGACAGATACTTCTAGGTACCTGTCAGCTCTCCCTAAGCCAGAGAAGAGCTGATACTGGATGGGAAAACTGAAATGAGCAACCCTGAAGGATGAAGTATCTTCCTCCAGTACATAGAGCAGGCTTTTTTTTTTTTTACTATTTGCTATATAAGTCATGGATTTCCTATACTCAGTGGTCTTCAGGAGTAACAAAGCCCCTAGGCATTAAAGCATCTGTCAGGATCCATGAAACATTTCCCTATGGAATTTAAGGGAAAGGGGGACTGATGAAAATACGCTGGTGCTCATATTGCCTGCATTATTGTCCCTTTGGTCAGCATCCATGACATCATGGCAATCAAACGTAGTAGCCTGCAAGTAGGGTAAAATCACATCCAAGATCCTTATACCAAGAGCATATGTAAATTGTGGTTTGCATTGACTTAGTGGCAAACCAAATAAGTAATGTTAATCTCCACTGACAGGAAAATAGTTCAATAAAATGGTGCATCAATACCAAGGAGTAGCGGGGTGATAGACATCTGAAACTTCTGCAACCTGAAGCTGGAAAAGAGAATAGTGCCAAGATTTTTAAAGTCGTTAGGCATGGTGGCACATACCTGTAATCCCAGTGGCTCAGTAAGCTGAGGCAGGAGGACCACAAGTTCAAAGCCAGCCTCAGCAAAAGCAAGGCACTACGCAATGCTGTGAAAACCTGTGTCTAAGTAAAAATACAAAGTAGGGCTGGGGATATGGCTCAGTATTCAAGAGCCCCAGAGTTCAATCCCCAGTACCCATCCCCCAAATTATGAAAGTCTACCATTCATACTTTCAGCAAAACCAGCATCAAAAAGTAACATGATGTACGTGGTAGTATTATCTTTCCCACAATTTTACAAATTTAATACCTCAGAATAAAAAAGGTGGTAATCAGACATTTCTCCAGCATAATGTTTAACAGGATTGTTATCTCTTGCCTTCCAATGTAGTATTTAAAAGGCTCTTGTTTATTACTGTTTCACTTCAACCCATGTTTGTAAATAGGATTATAGTTATTTCTAACATATCACTTCATACTTAGGATCCCTTTCCAGGATTAGGATTTAAAATAAATTCATGTTGTTCCTTTTATTTGAAAATATCAAGCTATTGGAAAGATCAAGAATGGATAAAGGAAAGAAAACAAAGGTTCTTTTCCTGGGATAGACAAAATCCAATCCCATTATATACTTGAAATTTTTTGCCTCTGGACAGCTTGCAAGCATTTTTTCTTTGAGAGATTCCGTATATTTTATTTGATTTAAGGAGACCCAGAAAGGTAAATGTTAAGAACTACTGGTTCAAGATATTCAATTTTGAACATAAACATCCAGGGGAAGGAAAAGTTTAAAATTATATTTATTAATGTTTTATTATACATATTGTATTTTCTTAGAATTGGGAGAGGGAACCCCCACTCAAGTGAGGTAACAAACTTGCCATCCTTTACAAAATTTAATTTGAACTGACAATGTATGGTTAGTCCTTAATTCCTGAGAATTTGAACATCATTAAGTTTTCTGTGAACTTATAACAAATGTTCACATTAATTTTTAAATTACAGTATGTCTGAAAAAATATTAACATTAATATGTTAGTAAGAA